GCGTGGGGGGACTACAGACCTTAAGAGTTAGCAGCCAGTGCTTAAGCTCCTGCATCACACAGGCTTATGTCTCTTCTTTAATCATTAGCAAGTTGGGGGAGGCACTTTTCATACACGGACCTGCCAGTTTGATTTTGTTTTCTTTTCTTTGGACATTTTTATTCCAAGGTGTTGTTTCATCTTTTTTGGATTAATTTACATCAGGGCATGTGAAGTACAGCTATCAACTTCTTTGACAGACATAAATGTCAAAAATGATTTTCCCAAATTTTCTGTTTGTACTTAAACTTTCTTTGACCATTTAGCACATGAAATTTTAATATATTCAAATGTACTAATTGTTTAAAGTATCACTTCTACATTTTATGTCAAGATTTGAAAGAAAGCTACTTAAAAATATCTATCTTATAATGCCCTTTCTATTATGTTAGATGTCTTTATGCAGATCATGAATTTATTTGATATTTACTCTTGCATGATGTAAGTGGGTGACTTTAAGATGGTATATTGTTCTTAGAGTAAAATGCTAAGTTTGTTAACATTTATTAAATTTTATCTGTATATACTGATAAATTATTTTTCATCATAATTTATACCTTGTAAATTTTGGACAGACATGCACCTAGTTGTTATCAGAAAACATTTGGAAGCAACATAATTTTATTTTGGAAGCTAACGCTTTAAACATATTATTGCAAAAATCAAGTATAATATTTGTAGTCAACAAAAAATGAAAGCTCTATTAAGGAAGAAAGGAGCCCTAGTGGTGTCATGGTTACACATTGGGCTGTGAGCCACATGGATGGCAAACCACCAGCCACTCCTTGAGAGAAAGACTGGGCTTTCTACTCCTGGAGACAGTTACCGTCTCAGAAACCCACACGGGATTGCTATGAGTCGGCATTGACTCGATGACAGTGAGTGTGGTTTTGTGATTAAGGAAGAAAGAGTCATGATGGTACAATGGTTAAGGCGTTCAACAGCTAATCCAAAGGTTTGAATGCGACATCTTCTGTTCTATGGGAGAAAGATATGCGAGGCAGCTTCCAGAAAGATTCCAGCCTTGGAAACCCTATCAGACAGTTCTACTCTGACGGACAGGTTCTCCAGGAGTTGGAGTGGACTCTGTAGCAACAGCTTTTTATTTTTATGGAAAACTTAGAACTATTAGACCTTGGTTTTAGAACACTAACTCTGATAAATTTAAATAGATAAAGTGAGGGGTGCGAGATAAGAAGAGCTAGAGAAAGGACACAACTGGGCAGAGGACAAAGAAAAGGTTAGTTTTAAGAGGGCTACAAATGGAATTTAGCCAACCAGATCTTTCCTGGTGAGTTGCTTCCAACTCACGATAACCCATGTGGGAGGACAGAACCACTATTCTCCATAGGGTTTCAAAGTTTGGTTTTGCAGAAGTAGATCACTAAGTCTGCACATTTAATAGTCTTAGAATGCTCCTGGGCAGGTCAGAAGCTCCAGCAGTTTGGGTTAGTTGCTGAGTACGTTAACCACTGGTTTTTACTGAATTACGGCTTTCCTAGCCAGAGTCTTAAGGATCCCTGGTGGCATATGAGTGGATACGAGTTGTGCTGCTAACTTCAGGGCCAACACTTTGAAACCTTCAACTACTCCATGGGAGAAAGATGATGCTGTCAGTCCCTGTAAAGAGGTACACTTCAGAAACCCACAGGGACAGTTCTACTCTGTCCTGTAAGGTCACTGTGAGTCATCGACTCGATGACAGTGAACTTTAGTTTGAACCATTATTCTTTGAAATTTCCACCAACTAAGCAAATTAGAGATGTGTTAGGACCCACTAAGCTGATTGCACAGCTTGTTAATACTATAAATAAACTGCATGGCAGCATTGTGGAGATGGGATCATTCAAAAAAAAGCATTTGTGATCTGTTACTTTTGCTCTTTCCAGGAAAAAATAAGCTATCACAGGGGTGGAAAAGTGAATCTCTCAATACAATCAATAAAGAAGAGCCAGAAGTTGAGTGTGTTCATGCGTTTGCACTTCCTTGATCCGGGAAACAGAGGGCTGTGACACCATGGAAGATGACAAGCAATGGCAGAAAAGTGGCAGTAGCAGAGGCAGCCAAACCAGGAGACCAGCAGTTGACCCCTAGGAGACAGGCTCAGTGGACTTTTGGATCTAGGGAGGGAGAAAGCTGAGTGTCTATGGGCAGAAGTTTGTTGTCAGCATGGGATGCCTCTGAGCACTTAATTGGCAATGTTAAATGGACTTTGTACACTTGCCTGAGTAGGGCAGAGCCAAGTTACTGAGGGGTCAAGAGAAGCATGGCTGTGGGCTCCACTGAGAAGCGATTATCCTGATCTAAGAGGTGTGTTTTGACTTATAACTTGTAACTTCTCTAATAAACCCCTAAATTATGTGTATTTCCTATGAGTTCTGTGTGCCCACTGCATGGATTAACAAAAACAACAGAAAAGTATAGGGTGCCGTGGGCGGGTCTTTTGGTGTAAGAGTTGCTAAAAAGATTGTAGGGTGGAGGTATGACTGATCCACAACTCATAGGAAAAGCCTTGAGTGACTGATAACAATTATGTTGATTTCCTTGCCTCGGCTTGCAGAGGTTAGAGGACTATGAAAAGCCATTTTTACAATAATCTAGGAACTAATGAATGGGTGTTAAAAGCAAACAAACAAACAAACAAAACCCATGACCCTGAGTCTAGGCTGACAAATAACAAGCCTTCAGGTCAGAGTAGAGTGGCCTCTTTGGTGCTCCCAAAGCTATAAATCCTTAAGGAAACAGACTGCCACCTCTTTTTCTTGTCGAGCAGCTGCGGGGCTGGAGTTGTTGAACGCTTGGTGAGCAGCAGGCTGATCTCATCACTGCCACCAGAGCTTCTGTGTGGAAGTGAAGGGGGCTAAGACACGGGCAAAACGAAAGGCCACAAAAATGCCTTCATGCTGTGTAAGTTGCTATACTCATGGATGAAAGAGCACTGTCAGAATTTTCAATGATCAATAATTTGGAATATTAGAGGAAAGAGAAATTGAGAATCACATGGACTTACAACGTCATTATGAGTCAGAATTGACTTGATGGCAGTGAGTGTTGGAATTGATAGCATATTTATTTACAGTGCTTGCATCATTTAATCTGGTTTGTCTTCTCTTTTTCAAAAAGTAGCCCTAAAATTGATCACTAAACCCCTTCAATCACAATGATTTATATCATGTTCTAGTTTTTATCTATATTGAATGTGCTTTCCTAACAGTTTTCTAAGTTCCCTGCTTCCTCAGTATGATGCCTGTCCTAGAAGACAGAGGCCTCCTCCAGGAGAGGCTGAACCATTCACTGACCTGCGGCTTCTGGCTGGAAACGGAAAATAATGGACGTTGGCAGAGGATAGATGAGCCAGGCACTTAGGTCTTGTTAGGGGAAGGGTTCACTAACGCTTGCTTTGAGAAGCCTCCTTCTAGTTCTAAAGCTGGCGAGGAAAGAAGGAAAAGACGTGGTGGCCAGAAAACTTAAGACATAAAATCTTAAGCCTTAGCTACACATTTGATGCTTTCCCTTTGGTGCTAGAGAAATGAAGCTGGTCACTTTCCTCACAAACATCTTATTTTCATATCTTGTTCATGACTGCATCCCTGCTGTACCCACATTTAGAGTGTATTTGACTAGGGGATCCTGGTTGCTAAAGTCAGAGAGATTAATGGATGATTCATTTGCATTATTTTTCCTATTAACGAGAAAGTTAATTTTGCTTGACTAGATCTTAAAATACGACTTTTAGAAGATGTGAAGTTATTTTTTTGGAAGTTAATTTTGGTTTTAAAGATGGTATCTTTTCTAGTAGAATGTCCTGGCATTCTTGAGCAAGAATCCCCAAAAGAGAGATCTGAAAGTGGCCATCGGGTCAAATATATTAACTAAAAGATATGATCTCTGAAGGGAATACACAAATAAGCAGAACTTGTTGATTTGACTAGAAAACTCAGTTCTCTAAGAGGTGAACCATGAATTTTTATAATACACCATTCTTTTACAACAAAGCAGCCCATGAACAGCATCAATCACTTGGCATTGAAATAAATTTATTTCTCTTATCTTAGTTCATTTCACTTTCAATTAAAATTATTTCTTCTGCATTTCAAGTCCAACTTTCAAAAGCAATAAAGGAACACACATGTGAGGCCAGTCAGGTCGAGGTTTACTGGTGATTACTGGCTAACAGCTTAACCGGCTCAGTTTTTTTGTCAGTAGTTCTGAAAGGTATTCAAGTGCAGGTTCCATATGAGGAACTGGCACGAATTTTAGAAACCTAACAACATATAATTTTGTTGAATTTGCATTCCAATAAATGCTAGCTTAAAAAAACGCACCTGCTTGTTCCTATGACAATAAGCATAGTGAAATGATGCTCATACAGATGTGGCGATGATTGTTGTCCCTGTTACTGCTGTTATTTTTTCCTTGAACAAGTCATCAAATTCTTCTCTGCTATCTACCATTCAACCACTTAATATGCCTCAGTGGGCAAAACTGTGTCACAAAATTCTAAAAGATGTTTTGCTAATAGTAAGAAACTAAAAGACTGCTGAATTGTTATTCCTGAGACAATTTTTATTGAAGTTGCTAATTAGATGATTACCAGTGCTCATGTATAATGCAGGAACAAAATATTTCACAGCTAAGCAAAGACAGGATTCTATGGTTGCCTCCTAATCAGTATGTTTCAAAATACTTAAGTTGTTTTAAATACAAGGGATTCTCTCATGCTGTGCCTTACTGTGTGATAATATATAGACTGAAAACATCCAAGTCACTAAAAATATACTCTGAAATTTTTCGGAGTGCAAAAGTTTGTTTTTAAATGTCTTTGTTTCTATAAATTAATCTTTAAAAACACTGAAGTCATTAAACTTCAGAATGCATTATGTCATTAGGCATTTTAATTCACAGCCTAGTTACCATAAGAAATTACAATGAACATTACATTACTAAAGGATATATACTACCTCATATAAAGTGATTACTCCATATGTCTGAGTTGGTTCTCGCCATTGAAGAAATATCTTCTCTTCAAAAGTACTTCCTTGGATAGATTCTGTAGGAACAGCTCCTGGGACTAAAAGGGATGAGGGGATGAATGCCTGAGTTAACAAAAATCCAAAAACACAATCAAAGTAGATTTTTCTAATGGAAGGATTTTATCTTCCACTGAGGCAAAATATATCAATAGTCAACAAATAAATACTCAAATTTTCTTTTAAAAACTAAGAAAATTAAAATCATTTTAACTATATTTGCCTTATTAATAAAATAAGCTCACCATAAACCCAAACCCAAATTCACTGCCATCAATCAATGCCGACTCACAGTGGCCCTATAGGACAAGGGAAGACTGCCTGATGAGTTTACGAGACTATAACTGTTTATGGCAGTAGAAAGTCCAGTCTTTCACCAATGAGTGTCAGGTGGTTTAGAACTGCTGAGCTTGTGGCTCACAGCCCAATGCTTAACTATTATGCAACCAGGGCTCCTAATTCACCATAGTTTCTTTAAAATTTTAAACAATTAGACTTCAATACTTAAGGTTTTAAATAAATGCTTTCCTTCTTCAACAAGAAATGAAAAATATTAAAACTGTAAGAATTTCATATGCTATTTGGTGGAAGTATAAATGGCAAAACCCATACTGGCAAAAAACTAGGCCGTATTTTGTAAAGTTAAAAAAGCACATTTCATACAATCAAATACCCTCTCACCTTTATATAGCTTTCCTACATTTCTTATACATGTGTAACAGAATGTTAATGTAGCAACATTTTAATATTAATAGGTTGAAAACAAACCAAAGGACTTAATGAATTATGTTATGATGAATACTAAGAAGATTGAAAATAAAGTACAACTATGCAACAGGATTCTATGGTTGCCTCCTAATCAGTATGTTTCCAAATACTTAAGTTGTTTTAAATACAAGGGATTCTCTCATGCTGTGCCTTACTGTGTGATAATATATAGACTGAAAACATTCCAATAAATGTTAATTTTTGCAATGATTTATGATTATTTCTATAGAAGAAAAAGGTGATTTTTTTCTCTCTCAAACATCTTACAATTAGATAAAATCCATATATAAGCTAATGAGAGAACAAGGAAAGATCATACTGAACAAGGAACAATCATATGAATCATATGATGATGACAACCATAAAAACATACATTAAATGCACATTTTCTGGAAACTTCAACCAGTTTTATATACATTTTTTATAGCTTTAAGGGTCCTGAGAAATGTTGATTTTCTAGCTTCTCATATGATGAGCTTGAAACCCAGGACTTAAGGTTATCTGAAGTACAAACAAGGTCAGAAATAAGAGACTGGGTTACAAGTAGAAGGAAATAGAGACAGTTTTTTGAAAGGTTCGAGATCTGAGGAGGGCTTGGAGAGATGGAGGAGATGTAATTTAGAGACATCAGAAGGACAGTTAATAGCAGCAGAGCTACAGTGAATGAAGCAAAACGAGAGGACGCCACGAGAGCAATGTCTGCGACTGATGCCACGGTGCCAACGCTGACAGACAGCTTGAGGGCAGAAGTCAGAGCAGAAGACCTGGAAGGCCAGGTCCCGGAATAGATAAACAGAAAATGGCACATGAAAGTATAGTGTAAGGATTAGTGTAATGTGAGTGAGAAGGGAGGACTAGAAACAGAAAAGACGGAAGGTCTGAAGGATGAAAGAAGGGAGAAAAATGTCTAATGTTCTTGAAATAGGAACAGCAGGAGTTTGGAATCAATTAAATGTTGACAGGCACTAAGATACCTGGCCAGAAACATATGGACAATGCTGACACTTTCTTTCCTGGTAGACGAGGAAGCGTTGGAAGATGTAGAAATAGGGCTTCCAGGTTTAGCTCCGAGAAACTCACTTGTATTGCTCTAATGTCAAATTAAGTGTATATCTTGCAAAAAATGCTAACAAAACAATTGTCTGAGGGCACTGGAAAGCAACCTATGCAGGTCATACTCTAGGTCAGTGGTTCCCAACCTACGGGTCGTGACCCCTTTGGGTGTCGAATGACCCTTTCCCTGGGGTCACCCGATTCATAACAGTAGCAAAATTACAGATATGAAGTAGCAACAAAAATCACTGCATGGTTCGGGGTCCTCACAACCTGAGGAACTGTATCAAAGGGCTGCGGCCTGAGGAAGGTGAGAACCACTGCTCTAGGAGCTACATGCTTCATAGTCCATGATACGCACGGGTGTATTCTGCATTATTACATGGGACTGCATGAGTCTGAAGAGTGACTCATGGACGATTACTGGACTTGAGTTGAACTGGGTTGGGATATTTTCTTGATATATAATTACTGCTTCATATAAAGTTCTTTGTTACACATATATGAGTGTCTGTGGGTTTGTTTCACTATTTAACCCGGCCTAACCCATTTATCTTTCCCTCTTTCAACTAGTGTTTACACACACAAAGCACAAATACACACTTGTAATATTCTATACATCAAGGATGTCTTTCTTCTACTTTCCTTATCAATCTGTGAAATTTAAAAAACCAAAAGCCTACTATGTAAGATATTTCACAAAAACATATCATTTAAAAGTACTCACGATCTTCATCTGTCTGGACTATGAGTTCTTGACTTTCCTTCCGTCCCTCAGGATTCATGAGGATGAGTCTCACACTAACATTGGTATACGGAGACAGATTAGTGATCGTGTGTTGAGGGTGTGAATTGTCAGTATCCCAGCTTACTTCATCTCGAACCTGTTCCTGTCCTCCAACTTGGTAACAATAGTGGACTGTGAGATTGTAACTATGGCAACGAGTTACATTATACCCAAATGGCTCCCAGCGGATAGTGATTTGTCGAGATTTGACCTCTACAACTTCCAGTTTTCTTGGGCCACGCATGGGATCTATTTAGAAAAAAGAAAACAAAGGAGAGAAATACATAATAAAATATAAAATTTCCAAAAATACTAAATGACACAGATATTCCTACTTTTCCTCAATATCTGGTCTCTTCTTCATGAATAATAAAATCCCTACATTTTATCTGGGCAGAAGGTTACCCAGAATAAAGTCTAATTGCCCTAGGCTCTTCTGTACTAAAGTGTGACAATGTGACTTGAATACAAGACAAGTTGTCAATAACAGTTTCTGGAAGATGTCCTTAAAAGAGAGAGGCTTCATTCCTTTCTCTCCCTTAGCTAGGTTGAGGATATAATGATTGGAGCTCATGTCGCCATAATGCACTATGAAGCATGTGTAAGCTAAGAATTCAAAGCCAGAATGAAGAAACCAGGCACCCTCACAGTGCTTTTAAACATAAATATGACGGTGCCATTTAGTTTGTTTCTTGACTGCTCCTGCCACATACCCACCAAGGTATTTTTATAAGCCCCATTATGTTAAACGTTTTACATGTTGCTGTAAAAATCAGCATATTGTATTTCCAAAATACTTCCTGAGGAGAGGGAGTAACTGACAAACAAACATAGATGCCCAAGTGTTATATGACTAAATGTACAGATGCTCTCTTAGTCACCATAGAAGGCCTACTTATTTTCCAACTCTTAATTAGAAAAAAATAATTAAACCTCTTTGCTTTGGGATTCTGATAGAAGAAATAAATTTCTAATACTGAAAGGACAGTGAATTATTTAATGTGGCTCTTCTTGCCAAAATCTCTGTACCTCCTACCAAATGACCTTTTCCTGCCTGGGTCTGGGTAAGCAAGTTGGGGTAAGGAATTGACAGAATTCAACTGTGAGCAACTGCTAACAGGATTCATTGGGAGTGCTATCGTGCTGTAAAATAGATATATATATATCCAAGAAGCAGGAGGGGGATTCTTACTACTAGGAAGAACAAGGAGTGGAGCTCATCCTTGGACCCTGAGATCCCTTCCCAGAGAGTCTCCTGGATGCAGAAGACAGCTGTGACATCAGAGGAGCAGCAGCAGAACCAGAAACCAGAGCATGAAAACGAGTCCGACTTCTCATCCAGAGCAAGTAAAAGTTTGGCTGCTTTGGAGCAGGATGATGGCTTGTGGAGTAGGGTGCCTCTGGGCACTTAAGTGGGGGCTGGGGGTAGGTGGGCCTGGGTTCAATGACCCCTGGAACTTGAACTGATTGCCTTCTGGTTGAGGCTTAAGGAGGAGTGGCATGCACTTTGGGCATTTGTTAGCAGCCTTCAACGAACTTTGTTAACAAGTCCTGATGAAGAACTGTATCCCGAACCTTCCTCATATGCTCACTTTCTCACTGTTAATATTCTCGGTAAACCGTTAATCATGAACATTGTGAATTATAAGCCACCACAATGGATTATAGAATCTAGATAAAAACATGGATTTCAGTTTGCATTTCAGGAGTTTCGGAAGATGCTAACCTAAAATATATTTGCCTTGCTTGTTTCAAGTGTAAGGAGACATACCAAATGAGGAAAAAAGCATGGGGAACTTGAGAATTAACAATGGCTACCATTTATTGTGTATTTCACCGAATACTGCAAGTATGGCACAGGACTGAACAATGTTTCACTCAATTATTTATAAGGTCGCCGTGACTTCAGTCCAACCTGACAGCAACTAACAACAATTGTGTATTCACCATGTGCCGGCTATTGTTGCTGTGTGTGTGGTGTGTGTTGTTTGTTGGTTTTCCAGTTGATCCTCAATCGTGGTAACCTCACACATGCATGGTAAAATTGTTCCACAAGGATTTCAAAGTTGTAATGTTTTGGAAGCAAAGTGCTAGGACTGTTTCTTGAGGCTTCTGGTAACTGGCCAACCTTCCAGCTGGGATTTAACTGATGACCAATGTCAAGGTGTGAGTGTGGCATGTGAGTCCAGACCTGGTGGATAACTAAACAGATGGTCGTTTCACTTCCCTGTGAACCACCTCCCAAATAAAGAACAAAAGATAAAATGTAGCCTCTCAATCATCAAAAAGCTCCATCAAAAGAATATAATAAAATAAAAACTATTTTAATAACACTGAAAAAATGGAACATATTAGTTTTAAATATGTGTAATTTAAAATATAACATAAAATAATATAATAAAAATGGCATTACTCTTGCGACCAAAGAGTCAGTATGGTTCAGAATTTCTCTCCCTTTACCTAACTGCACGAAGGCAGAACCTTCAACGCCATGTTGTCCTCAATGTACCACACAGCCCCGTACATAGAGGGGTTGCGCGGACCTTTGACTGCATTATGAACGAGGCTCATGTCTTGTTTCTCACTTGTGCATACATTCTAGGTGTCTATTTTCTCCATAATCTTATTTGCTACTAGTCGTGGGGAACATAGTCCTCAATGTTTATAATTTCTCAATACATATACTTAGAAAAACATAAATGTTTTTCCCATATAAGTGACTTTGTGTCTTTTAAAGGAAATGTCTGTTTTTAAATAATGCTGTGTGTTAAATGTTTACAAAAAGCTTTAGTGAGCTAGAGATCCTTTACACACACACACAGATTACCATGCATCACTTTGCCCTTTTCTTTATTAATCACATGTCTCTACAAAGACTGTTCTAAAATATTTTACCAAGGCTTTCATCATTTTTACTTACTAATCAAATGAGTAAATGCTTTCTATATTAGTTTTAAAAGGCAGTGTGGTTCTAACTTAATTTCGGTGGAAAACCACTTCCCACGGCATCAATAAAACTTCATTGCAGTAGTATTCCTCAGTCAGAAAATGCACACTCAAATTAAGCCTCCAGATCAAAAAAAACAAAACAAAGTAAGCAAGTACTGAGAAAGTTTTCTTGTAATGCATACTCCCTTCCCATGTATAATTAGCTCTCAGAATTCTATCATGGCAAAATCTTATCTTAAAATTTTCAGAAAATTGCCAAATAAAAGAGATAAGCCTAGTACCAAAACACCATCTCTATGACCCCGAACTGAAGTCCCTGTTGTCATGAGAGATGATTCACACACTGATGATTAGAGGCTGAGTGACAATCTCCATGACCAAGACCCCCTAGTCTCTGTTGTCCTGGGTGGTAATTCTCATTCTGCATTGAACCAGGTCTCATCTTTAAGACCTCAGCTAACCAAAACCACATTATCTATAGAAGCTTTTCAAACACAGTATATTCATGTGTGTCCTTCGTGGGTCTACACCTATAGTGTTCTGTATGTCTATAATAATGTCAACATCAACATAGCAGGGCCACATTATGCCAATGGGAGTGAAGAGAAATGTCCCTGAACTCTGATTCCCACATACTCTTCTCATTAGTTAAAAATTTTGAGAGAAAAAAAAATGGAGAGAAATGAGATTAATACCATGACACCTTATATGAGATTAATACCATGACAGACAAAGTGAGTGTTTCAATGGATGTGTGTATGGATTGTGATAAAAGTTTTATGAGCCCCCAATAAAATGATTTTTATAAAAAGAAAGCAAGAAAGTGAGCGCCTGTCGGTGAATGAGGGCAAGAGTTCAGTGACTTGGGAAATGGCTGATAAAGTCATCCCATTAACAAGAGTTGAATGTCCTATGCTACCTTTTCCTGTTATCATATCACTTCTCTGCTAATTATGTTTATAAGTCCATGACATGGTTAAGTCCATAACTATAGGTATCTGAAATTCATCCCGAGTGAACTTCTTCATTCCAATGCTGCTTCTAGAAGTCATTCTCCAAAACTGAGTTCTGACCAACTATGGATTTAGACCAGTGGTTCTCAACCTGTGGGTGGAGACCCCTTTGGGGGTTGTACAACCCTTTCACAGTGGTTGCCTGATTCGTAACAGTAGCAAACTTACAGTTATGAAGTAGCAACAAAAATAATTTTACGGTTGGAGAGGTGCCCACAGCATGAGGAACTGTATTAGAAAGGGTTGCGGCATTAGGAAGGTGGAATAGCTCAAACATAAGAACAACGGTGAGAATGGCACAGGACTAGCAATGATTCGTTCTGTTTTATATTGGGTCATAGGAGATGGAACCAACTCAACAGCACATAACGACAACAAAATCAAAGTAGTATTTTATGATACTTTATCCTCAGTATTTCTGGAGGAGCCATTTCTATTAACATGCCAACTGTGAATGTTAACCTGGAGTTATAATGATGAACACTGAAGACTTTTAAGGGCATTATAGTTGGAAGATATTCCACTGTAGAAAGAAATGATAAGTTTATAACCAGAAATGCGTAACGTCAGTAAACAATTATGATTCACAAGCATTTCTGGGACTAGCACATAACTACTGCCAAAAGACCTTGGCATACCATTACCACCATCTATTTACAAGGTATAAATATCTTAGGATAAGATAATAGGGCAATAAATTATATTCATAGAACCACTACTGGTAGAATACTGGTTCCTCTTTCCGCACAATACGAAAGATGCTTTTGAGGACTGCAGTGATCCCAGGCCATTTCTGCTCACATTCACACCCCTTGGCTCATCGGCATTTCCTCTTCCTGGAATGACATTAGCACAGGCCCCATTATTAGGAATCATGAGGCCATTCAGTGAAAACTGTGCCCTCTGACTCATAACAAGAGACCAGAATGGCTTCCCGAAGGAGAACAGCAGCTAGCATGCCTTAAGCTTAGTCAGGGAGTTCGTACCTGTTTCCCCACTGGCACCGGCAGCATTTTTCATTCTGTTCTCTTTCTGCCAACTGAGCCAGACTTCAAGCAGACAGGCCTGACAGCTGCAGTCCTGACCCAAGGGACCAGCAGGCCCAGTTCTCGCCTCTAGCACTTTCGCATCCTACTTAGTCAGTGATCCTGGCTCTTTCAACGTGCAGTCCTGTGTTTCTGTGAGCAAGGGCAGAAACTGACTGATAGGATCAATTTCGATTGCAAGGTTCAATTCACAGCTCATTTGTCTGGAACTACACTACTATAGTATTTCTTCAGAAGCTCA